ACCAACCAGAGATGACTACTCTTAGGTTACTGTCATGTTGATGACTGCTTAGTATCCTATAATGTGAATGTGCTATATTTTAGCTATTGCTATACCCTTTAGTTGTTTTCAATTTTATTAATAAAGCAATTACCCTGTGATTAACACATTTTCACAGAATCTTTGCTCATATTATTCTTTTGGATGAGACTACTTGAAATCAAACCATAAAGACAAAGCTGGGAATACTTTCTAATGCTTGTAACTTAAGTATTTTAATAATATTTGGCATTTTCCTTTCTTTTTCTACATGTGCTTATTGTTTTGTTACAAAGTCACAAAGTTTACTATTATCACTATCAAACAGTACAGAGAAACACAGGATTGGGATTACCACCATGGTTAATACTTTGGTGTGCATCCTTTTGTATCTCTCTCCATGTTCACAAAGTACTTTTTAAAATATTAATTTTTTTTCATTTAAAGATATTTTGTGAACATCTTTTTAGGTCAAAACCTACTGAGCCAAAACTTTTATACTTAACTAACAGAGCCAAAACTAGCTCTGTTAGACCTTATGTCCAGAATGACTATTTTTTTTCTTGAGACGAAGTCTCACTCTGTCGCCAATGCTAGAGTGCAGTGGCACGATCTCAGTTCACTGCAACCTCTGCCTCCTGGGTTCAAGCAATTCTCTGTCTCAGCCTTCCAAGTAGCTGGGATTACAGGTGTCTGCCACCATGCCTGGATAATTCTTGTATTCTTGGTAGAGACGGAGCTTCACCGTCTTGACCAGGCTGGTCTTGAACTCCTGACCTTGTCATCCACCCTCCTCCACCTCCCAAAGTGCTAGGATTACAGGCATGAGCCACCGCACCTGGCCCAGAAAGACATTTTTAAAACACAAGTCAATTCTTTTCACTTCTTGGCTCAAAGCGCTTTGATAGTTTCCCATCTCACCTAGCTTCAAAGTCAAAGTCCTAACCCCGACTAACAGGATTCTTATGATCTGGCAGCACCCTTAACTTCCGACCATATCTAACCACTCTTCTTCTTCCTCCCTGAGCTCCAACCATGTTGGGCTTCGGCGTTTCTCCAACATGGCAGTACACTTGCACTCCAGGGCTTTCTCACTGGCTGTTTCCTCTAGCTGAAAGGCTATTCTACAAGATACACTTCATTCCCTTATTTTGTTTAGGTCTTAACAAAGATTAATTTGCTGCCTAAACTAAAGATTCAGCAAACCCCCAAACACACTATACCCTTTCTCACCTTAATTTTTCCAATAGCTATTTTTTTCTTTATTTTGTCTCTTCCACATGGAAAAACAAATACTTCCTGAGTGCATGGTTTTTTTGTTTTTTTTTTTTTTTCATTATTTTACTTCCATGTACTTGGCATCTGGTAGGCATTCAATAAACATTAGTTGCATGTGTAGCCTGGTAGACATGTGTCAAAAAATATGTGGTCCCTGGCTCACATGTATTAACCAAAGTGTTTATTTGACCAAGGCATTTTATTCAAATAAGAGCTAATTTAAAGAAGAAATTGTCACATCTTTTTCATTATTATGTAAGACGTCTTCTTTCTTGACTCTTCGTTAGCGTGAGGCAGACTGTGTTTTCTAGGAAAACTTCTGGTTTGATTTGTTTCTCCCAATTAATTGTAACTTGAGCTTCAAGTATTCGAGTTCTTGAAATTAAACAGGTTAACAAAAGTTTGTATTCACTTTCAGCAAACTTCTCCTCATCTTGTATGTGCCTTATGGCTTTCAATATGATTTTATTTTAGATGCCCTAGGCTGGAAGGTGCTTGTACTCGCAGCCCATGCCAACATGGTGGCACATGTATGGATTACTGGTCATGGCAGCAGTGTCATTGCAAAGAGGGATTCACTGGGAAATACTGTGAAAAATGTATGTAAGGTCTTCCGTCTTCCCCTGGAAATTATAATAACTATGAAAATTAAAATATGTGCACCCAAGTATGTAATTGAATTAAAAATTATGCTTTCATTCTAAATATTGAAAATATTAAATGGGCAATAATTGGTAAAATACAGTGACATTTTAAAAGTTATTTTTGGAATCTGAAGAAGAATGATATTCTTTTAAATAATTATTTACTAACTAAATCTATAGCTTCCATTTTTAAAATATTCAGTTATTTTTGTTTATAAGAATGATAGGCAATCTAAAAAGTCAATGGTTATATTTAGGCTTTTTTTGCATCATTATATTTTTTTGGTGATTTTTTGTGCATAGAAAGATTACTCACCACTGAGCTCAAAACATCATACAATGGCATCATAATAGGTTAAACTTAATGTTGATACTTTCAGTTTGATTTACAAGTACCAGAATTAGTTCTGAATACTACTTTTAAAAACCCTGTCATCAGTTGTTTTCTAAGCCCAGATGTTACTATTATTTAGACATTAATGATGCTCACATCATCGTTAGAAAATCGTGCTCTCTAATTTCAAGCTGCACAGTTCACTAACTAACCCTAATGGCTCCTCTTGTGTAAAAATTCTTCATTTTCAAACAGATTGTTACTTAACTGTAGTGCAGGTATCTGACCACATTTAAGGAATCATTTGATTCAATTCTAATATGAAAATGAATAGAAATGCATAATAAATTTGAGGCTATAATATAATCTAAAAGATGTTAGTAGCAGAAAGTATAACTGTGTGTAATTATGTTAGATATAATGAAAATATAGAAAACATTGTCACGTGATTTTTAAAGTAATAAATATTTAGTAAGTAGGATCCTAATTATATCTGAAATATGAGATGAATCATTGGCTAGATAAATGCCTGAGACTCTTTTTCTTAAATCATGATATAACCCACATACTATAAAATGTATCTTTTTTCAGTGCATCATTCAGGGCTGAAATTGTTTTGAGCTCATTTTCTTAATCTCTTTTCTTTACCTATATCATTTGTTTCTATAACTTAAACTTCTATATTTCTGGAGTGTGGATTTTTTCAGATTATGATCAATTATAATATACATACTGATTATGCATGACGATAAATTATATCTGATGACTACTAGAAATAAAGTTAGTTACAAATATAAATATTTGATTGTCCACGTCTTTGTCCAAATTTATAGCATACTAGAGACTAAAGATTACAAATCATTTTAAAACCATGCAAACATATATTTTGGAAATCCAATGAAAATGTTTACAAACAAATTCTTCAAGAACATATTTCTAACAAGTGGCTATGTCTTTAGGTATTCAAGATTTATATAATGTGGCAAATAGTTTAGTAAATATTTCCCAAATGGTTAATGATGCCACAAAGTATTTTACATTTCATGGTTCTGAAATGGATGTAAACATTTGAAACCAACTTATATAATAATAAATATAAATTATTTTTTAAGAGTTGAGTTGGGAGACATTATTTCCCAAAAGGTGACATTTTCATTCTCCTTTTTAATATTTCTTGTCACTATAGAAAACTCTCCAAGAAATGCCAAATGAGTGCATTCATTTTCCTTTTTTTTCCTTTGGTTTTCAGCTATTACTCCTGACACTGCCTTATCCTTAGAAGGCAAAGGGCGCTTGGACTACCACATGAGTCAGAATGAGAAGCGGGAATATTTGTTAAGGCAAAGCATGCGAGGTGCCATGTTGGAGCCATTTGGAGTGAACAGTCTGGAAGTAAAATTTAGGACCAGAAGCGAGAATGGCATTTTAATCCATATCCAAGAAAGCAGCAATTACACTACTGTGAAGGTGAGATAAAAGCTAATGGTGACTTCATTTGATTAGACCGCCTGCTGTGTAGTGGTTTAAATCACTTCTCCCATAATTTCTGTACTTTTCTTTACAACCCATTAGAGTTCCGACTAATGCTGGGCGCTATTCCAATATCATCTATCTTAACTATTCCCCAGGCATTGGCCAGAGTAACAGAGATCTGAATGGTCTGGTTTCTACACACTTTTGTCTTGCTTTAGAATAGAGAACCCTGCCAGGTAGGCCAGCACACAAAGAATTAGTGGCAATCTATTTTTCTGGTAAGAATTTATACTGCTTTTTTCTTACTTTTAAACAAAGCAAACCAAAAATATAATGTGTCTTTGAAATGTAAAAATATTTTTCTCTAATAATTATTTCAAATACTGATATGCATATGTTAATTGACAGGATCAGAATAAGGAAAAGCATTGTGAGATATGGGAAAACATTTTGAAATTATATGATTTCTGGAGCATATATTTAATTTACTATGTAAACTCTGTGAAGTACATTTGGAATTTATTATAAGTAAAATTTCACTTAACCTTTATGAAACATTTTTAAATAATCTTAAAAATTATACTTCATGAGAAAATAGATTGATTTATTATTAGGCTTTTACATAATTTTTTCTTATCTGTAAATAAGATACTCAACTTACGTACAGGTAAATAATTTAATTCGATATACATTTTTGCATTGGTTCAGAGCTTTCCGTATTTTTTAATCTGTATTTTGCTTTCTTTCCCACAAATAAGTCATCTCCTAGACCAAAGTTTCTTTAGTTTAGTTATATTGACTGCTTTCCATTAATTTTACTTTGTATCATTCTACTGATAAATTTAATATAAATTTTAGTAAATTCTTAAAATAACAAATCCATATTTCCTGAATTATTTTCGTCCGAGTCAATATTTGGAAATTACTTCAGGAATAGTTCATAAAGAAAAAGAGCAACATGCTCAGAAAATTATTAGGTTTAATTCACATATAATACTAAAAATAAAAATAGATGTTCACTTCTAAACTTAAGCTTTTTTAATCCTCAACATTTTTCTCTGTGGAAGCCAACCATGATTATGTCACATATAAACATACTTAATAAGTAGCATGAAAATCAATATTTCTTACATTCTCAAATAATAATCTCTCTAGTCTAGTCATTTCCAACTAGGAATGATTTTACCCCCAGGGGATGTTTGGCAATATCTGTAGACATTTTCAATGGTTACAGTTGGGAGTTGGGAGAGTGTTTCTGGCGTCTGGTGGTAGAGGTCAGGAATGCTGCCAAACATCAGCACTTTACAACAGTTATCTGGCCCAACATATCATTAGTGCCGAATGGCAGACACTCTACCCTAATCCCCTACAAGAGAACACTTTTAACTTTACCTCCATTGAAACAAAGAACCCAGTTCCAGAGTTCATAAAACCACTGTAAAAGAGAACACATAAGCCATTGTATAAGCTTATTTTTTGTACTTAGAATTTTCCTTGAAAATGGTATTAGAAGTAAACAATGTAAAGAAGCAAAGAAAGAAATAAACCTTCATCTTTTGTAAGAAACATATTTTATATGTTTTGAGGGCTTTGGCATTGAGGTCTGTGTGTTATCTGTTAAACTGTTTCCAAGACCTCATGCCATTTAAATGATATATGAAATATTTCTGTACGTTATCACTTTAAGCCAAGGAATTCAGTGAAAATACAATGTGGTTGAAAAAAATCAGAGACCAGTTTTTTTCTTCCCTGAATGTCAGGATTCATTTTGTCACCATAAATTCTTGTATTTTCAACAGGCCAACAGCATTCAACTCCAGATTTTGTTAACTTGGTAGCAATAACTTAGACTTTTTTATTTTCTGAAAGGAAAGTAAGTGTTAATTAATAAAAAATGAATAACGCAGACAGAAATGCACAGTTTTGTATGAAAATTTTGAAAAACAGCTTTTTAACTATTAAGGGGCTTGGCAGGTAAAGAAAATGGGTAAGAAAAAATAAAAACAATGAATTAAGAATAACTAAATAAACTGAAAGGAAGTAGCTGTTATAAGCAGGCAAATTATTTGGAAGACAGAAATATCATGTGCTTATTACGGAATAGGATGGACTTTTACTTATTATTTAGTTTATTGGTCACCAAGACCCCAAGATTTCTTTTTCCTTTTTTGGGGGGGTTCCCTTTCGGACCTTTTCTTTATTTCTTTCTTATGGTGTGTGTGGTCTCACTCTTTCACTCTCTCATTCTCTTTTTCTATCATTCTCTCTCTCTTCCCTCTACACACACACACACACACACACACACACACACACACACACACACACAGAGAGAAAGAGAGAGAGAGAGAGAGGGAGAGAGAGAGAAGCGGCCAGAAGATGGGGACATTTTGTGAAAAATGAACAAGGGTGTTGGGTAAATGCAGTGTTGCATGTGGGCAGCAATAGCAATGAGAGGATAGACAAGATTATGTAGAATCAATGGGGCTATTCAAACAAAGAAAAAAGTAAGAAGAAAAATTTCGGAGAGAAAGGCAAAAGGAAAGCATACTTGTGTAGAACTTTGCTGATGACATTTAAAGCATTTCACAAATCTCTTTTCATTCATGGCATATCCTATAGCTCAATATTTGATGTTCTGTAATAGCAGTAATATGAGGGAGTTTATTTCTACTCTAAATCTGTCCTATTGTTTTGTGTTTGTTTGTTTAAGTGGGCAATATAGGTGGCACAGAATTGGAATAATGAATTCAAAGCTATGTGGATTCAAATTAAACAAATGAACAAATAAATGTAGTCATGAGTTGCATAAGGACAGGGATACATTTCCCAAAATGCATTGTTAGGTGATTTTATTCTTGTGCAAACATCATAGAGTGAACTTACTCAAACCTAGATGGTACAGCCTACTACACACCTAGATTATATGGAATAGTCTATTGCTCTTGTGCTACAAACCTGTATGGCATGTTTACTGTACTAACTACTGTTAGCAATTGTGACACATTGGGAAGTATTTGTGTATATAATCACATCCAAACATAGAAAAGGTACAGTAAAAAGGCTATGTAGAAGATTTTTTAGGGGGAAGTGGGGACAGCCTGGGCAACAAGGTCTTGTTCTGTTGCCCAGGCTGGAGTGCAATGGTACGATCTTGGCTCACTGCAGCCTCTGCCTCCTGGGCTCAATTTATCCTCCCACCTCACCTCCCAAGTAGCTGGGACTATAGGCGTGTGCCACCATGCCAGGCTAATTTTTGTATTTAATGAAGAGATGAGGTTTCACGTGTTGCCCAAATGGCACTATTGTAAATAAAGCTTGTAGGACTGGAAGTTGCTCTGAGTCAGTGTGTCAGCAGGCAAGTGGCAGATCAATGTGAAGGTCTAAGACATTATTCTACACTTCTGCAGACTTTATAAACTCTGTACGCTTAGGTTACACTGAATTTATCAAAAATATTTTTTCTTCAATAATAAACTTAGCTTACTGTAACTGTTTTTGTTTATAAACTTTTAATTTCTTTAACTTTTTGCTTTTTGTAATAACAATTAAAACACAAATACATTGTATAGCTGTACAAAAATATTTTGTTTTCTTATACCCTTATTCTATAAGCTTTCTTCTATCTTAAGCATTTTTTATTTCATTTTACTTTTATTTTAAACTTTTGCATCAATAATTAAGAAACAAAAAAACACATTAGCCTGCACAGGATCAGGATCATCAGTATCACTGTCTTCTACCTCCACATCCTGTCCCAGTGGAAGGTCTTCAGGGGCAATAACACACATAGAACTGTCATCTCCTATGATAACAATGCCTTCTTCTGGAATGCTGCCTAAAGGACCTGGATGAGGCTGGTTTACAGCTATTTTTTGTATCATTACAAGCAGTACCCTCTAAACTAATGATTTTTTTAAAATGTAGTAAATGCATAAGCCAATAATATAGTCATTTATTATCCTCATCAAGTATTAGGTATTGTACATAATTGCATGTGATACACTTTTATACTTACCGGCAGTGCAGTAGGCTTGCTTACACCTGTATCCCCGCAATGAGTAATTTGCTGTGCTGTGACATTACAATGGCTACTGGGTCGCTAGAAGATAATAATTTTTCAGCTCCTGTGGTTCATCATTGACTGTTTATGAATAAATAAAACCAAGCAAAAGTCAGCATGATGTTTTGAAAGTTAGGAATTATGTAAGTGGTAAGAAAAGGACTGCCAGGGAGAAGGAAAGCATTAAGAATGTTATAAAGGGAACTTATATTCTTCTCCACCTCAATTTGTGGTATGCTCCAAGTGCTCTTTCATCAGAAACTTACCGAATAAAAGATGACATGATGAAATCAATTTGTAGGAAAGAGCTGAGAGGAGGCTTTTTCTGTTGTTTGTTTGTTTTTTGTTTTGTTTTGTTTTGTTTTTCAGAAAGGACTCTAGCTATAACCAAAAAAAGTTGCTGTTTTTACTGAGTGTCATGAGATGTTGCCCATTTGATGAAATGTTATTGTCATTTAGCTAGAATTTTCTGGGTGTTTTTTTTTTAGTTTGGTACTAAAATGTATTATTATCTGGAAAAATTGCTTTAATAAAATATGACTATATGAATAACATATGTAAATGTGTTAGACATCTTTTCCATAAAGTACAAATGAACTGATTTTTAGTTTTACCAGATGTTTGTTGCATGTAGAAATAGCATTTGATCTGAGTGACAAAATAAACTAATCCATCTTTTCATTCCCGTTATTTAAGGAACAGTGCCACTGCATCCCCCTGCCAAGACACCAGCTCTGTCTGGCAATGTTAACGGGTTTATGCTCCCTGAATCAAATGTTCATCTTGCCTTGTAAATTATCTCATTTTCTAAAATGGTCTACTCAGGATACTGGAAACTTGGTAGCTGGAAAATGGAGTGGGAGCATCCTGTTACCCAATGTTCTATCTACTAGACAAAATAAAATAAACCAAATATCCCTTAGATATTGTAAAAGACAGCCAAAGTGAAGACTTGCCCAGACACCTCATTATTAAGAATTCAGTCTTTATTCGTCATAGTTTTTGATCCCAATGAATGGTATAAACGATAGGCATCTTTTTTTTCCCCAAAATTCTGGTGTGTAAAAGATGACAGCTAAAATGATTATTTTCATCTTTATTTTCCAACTATGTTTCCTTTTTAGCTGAGCATTCATTTTTCTTTTTGAAGTGGTTTTCACAGTTTTTTGGTACTACGGGCCTTTTACTAAACGAACCAATATAACACACTCCAATGGCAGGTTGTCACTGAAGTACAAATAATCAAAAACGTATAATTTATTTATCTTAAAATGGGCATTCACCCCTTTACCATTTCAACTGTGTTCTGGAAAATGATTCATTGTTTTTTGAAAAATTAGGTATACAGATAAGAATACTTTGAAAACCATTGAAATTATTAAATATCAAAGTATGTGTTGCCTAAAATTGTAGAGACAAGATGTGTAAGTATACTCTCATAAAATCAGATTCTTCCACTATTCTATCTTCTGTAGATTGGTCAAAAATTTAAACTTTAGTGTTATTAATTACTTTTATTTAAGCATACCATATTTTAATTGTATATTATTTTTAATATGTTTTATAGATTAAGAATGGAAAAGTACATTTTACATCAGATGCAGGAATTGCTGGGAAAGTGGAGAGAAATATTCCTGAAGTGTATGTTGCAGACGGCCACTGGCACACTTTCCTAATTGGGAAAAATGGAACAGCCACCGTATTGTCTGTTGACAGAATATATAACAGGGATATTATCCACCCTACCCAAGACTTTGGTGGTCTTGATGTGCTTACTATATCACTTGGAGGAATTCCACCCAATCAAGCACATCGAGACGCCCAAGCAGGTAAATGCCTCTGTTAAGTAGAATCACGAGGGAAAGGTAAAATTGTACCTCAAGAAATAATTGTTTTTTTCTTGTGGCAAGAGTAGCTAAAATCTACACATTTAGTATGAATCTCATATACAATACAATTTCATTCAACAAAATGTATGTTTAAAAAAGTAGTTTGATGTCTGATACTATCAATAATAAATATTCTTAAAATGTCATAGCTTTCTTTAGAAAGTTTGTAATAAACTATTAGCCACCTCGAGCAACTTGCATCTTTCTTACCAGGGTTGTAACTCAGTCCATGGAATGTTGATGCTTTGCTTGTCCACCAAGCATTTTCTATACATTTATTCAGTTATTTATTCATTCACAGCCACTCTCTTCATGGTCCATTAATGGAAGCAAACATCAATCAATTTCTTACACAAGTAAATTCATTATTCTAATCTATGATAAATAATGCAAAGGAAGAATGTGGAATTCTAAAATATAATGAAAAAAGAGAAAGGAAGGGGAATTTTGCTGAGGAATTGACGTGTATACATAAATCTGATTGATAAGGAGAACGATGAAAGTGTATGAAAGGTTAATTTATGTTGATAGAAAGTTTTTTAAAGAAATAGATTAAATCTGAGTTATAAATCACAGCACACTGGGGGCTAATGTCACAGGCAAATGATGCAGTTGGAGAATGAAGCAACTTCTAGACCTGTTGCAGTTTTGGTCTTATTTACAGAGCAATGGGAAGTTATTAACGATTTTAATCACAGGAGGATCAAGTTAGAGATGCAATAATATTACAGATCATTTAGGCTACAACATGGAGAATGAATTGGTGGAGGGTACGAGTGGATCAACAGAAATTAGTTGGGATCTGGACAAGATGTCTTGTGAGCTCCTAGTAGTGTTGTGGCCAAGGGGTTAGAAGGAAGTGGACAGAGAAGTATTCTGGGAACTAATATCAACCAAACTGTTAGTGATTCTGGTAAAAATTCAAGGAGGATTCTACTTCTCAACTAAAAGAAGAGTAGTGTCACCAAGAGAGGAAACTACAGAACACTGCAAAAGCAGCATATCTCAGGAAGTAACAGATTTGGTTTGGGACATTTTAGGTTTGAATAGTCTTTGAAAATATCCTTTGGATGGATGGGCTGGAACTCAGAAATAGACTTTAGCTGGAAATATATGTTTAGGAGTGGTCAGAGTGAAGCAGGTAACTGAAGTACTGAACATGGGTGTGATCACCTAACAAGAGAGTGTAGAGTGAAAAGAAAGCCTAGGACCTCATCTTGATTAACTCTAAGAGTCAATGGTTACATAGAGGAGAATAAGTCAGAAAAGGAGACTAAGTAATAGGAAGAAAATCAGGAATATAGGAACAAAAGGAAAAGATGTCACAAAAGCTCATAGAAAAAAGTATATCAAGGATGAGAATGTCACTAGGGTAGAACGATGCATTAAATAAGAGGAAAATAATGCATGTGAGAGTAAAAGAGTTAAGGCATACAAGTTAAAGTCTGGGTTATAAATTCTTTTTATATTTTTAGTAATTATAGAACGTTGTGAGAAAACAAGCCAACATAAATTTTGCTTTTTTGGTAGTGTCAAAATAGATTCTTGGGCCCTGAGATAGGAACATCAGCTGTGTTTGTGCACTCAAGTGTCATAAAGTGTTTCTTAACTTTGTATTTTATCTTTATCTTTCCCCTAAAGAGACACTTAATATAGTCTAAACTTGGCCATCCCCAAGTCATAAAATGTTAACACCAGTGGTATGTTTTCATCTGATCTTCGGAGGTCCACAGACCATTGTAATAGCTAAGATTTTTTTCTTTTGCTCCCCAAGAACTTATGTTTGACACCTTTGGTGCAACATTACCTTCAATGGGAATGCACAATTTAGTAGTTGAAGACATTGGCCTATTTCATGTTCTTTACAAGTTTTTAAAAATACATTTTATTTGTATGTATGCAATTTTTGGTATATAGAATGTAAAAAGAAAGGAAATTGATAATTAAATAAATGAGTAAGAAAAAGAAAATTCAGCCTGCCCAAGTCATTCATAAATCTTCAGAATGAGTGGGATTCAATCTGCCCCACGTTTGGTCATAGTAATGTTACACACCTTGCTAAGTTATGTTGTAAGATGCACAGCTTAAGTACCTTTCAACTGGGTGATGACTCTGAGACTGAGCTTTCGGTATTCACATGAAGTGATTCTGAAGTTTCTTTTTACAAGTGGACTTTTCCACTTCTGGACTTTTCCAGCAATGTAGTATAAGCATTTTTTTTCTTTTTTTTTTTAGAAAAAAGCCTTACTGCTGCTTCTTCTCTCAGCAGGTTTTGATGGCTGCATTGCTTCTATGTGGTATGGTGGAGAAAGTCTTCCTTTCAGCGGGAAGCATAGCTTGGCCTCCATCTCAAAAACAGATCCCTCGGTGAAGATTGGCTGTCGTGGCCCAAACATCTGTGCCAGCAACCCCTGCTGGGGCGATTTGCTGTGCATTAATCAGTGGTATGCCTACAGGTGTGTTCCTCCTGGGGACTGTGCCTCCCACCCGTGCCAGAATGGTGGCAGCTGTGAGCCAGGCCTGCACTCAGGCTTCACCTGTAGCTGCCCAGACTCGCACACGGGAAGGACCTGTGAGATGGTGGTGGCCTGTCTTGGTGTCCTGTGTCCTCAGGGGAAGGTGTGCAAAGCTGGAAGTCCTGCAGGACATGTCTGTGTTCTGAGTCAGGGCCCCGAAGAGATCTCACTGCCTTTGTGGGCTGTGCCTGCCATCGTGGGCAGCTGTGCAACCGTCCTGGCCCTCCTGGTCCTGAGCCTGATCCTGTGTAACCAGTGCAGGGGGAAGAAGGCCAAAGATCCCAAAGAGGAGAAGAAACCAAAGGAGAAGAAGAAAAAGGGAAGTGAGAACGTTGCTTTTGATGACCCCGACAATATCCCTCCCTACGGGGATGACATGACCGTGAGGAAGCAGCCTGAAGGAAACCCAAAACCAGATATCATTGAAAGGGAAAACCCCTACCTTATCTATGATGAAACTGATATTCCTCACAACTCAGAAACCATCCCTAGCGCCCCTCTGGCATCTCCAGAGCAGGAGATAGAGCACTATGACATTGACAATGCCAGCAGCATCGCCCCTTCAGATGCAGACATCATCCAACACTACAAGCAGTTCCGCAGCCACACACCAAAATTTTCAATCCAGAGGCACAGTCCCCTAGGCTTTGCAAGGCAATCCCCCATGCCTTTAGGAGCAAGCAGTTTGACTTACCAGCCTTCATATGGTCAAGGTTTGAGAACCAGCTCCCTAAGTCACTCGGCGTGCCCAACTCCCAACCCTCTGTCCCGACACAGTCCAGCCCCTTTCTCCAAATCTTCTACTTTCTATAGAAACAGCCCAGCAAGGGAATTGCATCTTCCTATAAGGGATGGTAACACTTTGGAAATGCATGGTGACACCTGCCAACCTGGCATTTTCAACTATGCCACAAGGCTGGGAAGGAGAAGCAAGAGTCCTCAGGCCATGGCATCACATGGTTCTAGACCAGGGAGTCGCCTAAAGCAGCCAATTGGGCAGATTCCACTGGAATCTTCTCCTCCAGTCGGACTCTCCATTGAAGAAGTCGAGAGGCTCAACACGCCTCGCCCTAGAAACCCAAGTATCTGCAGTGCAGACCATGGGAGGTCTTCTTCAGAGGAGGACTGCAGAAGGCCACTGTCTAGAACACGGAATCCAGCCGATGGTATTCCAGCTCCAGAATCCTCTTCTGATAGTGACTCCCATGAGTCTTTCACTTGCTCAGAAATGGAATATGACAGGGAGAAGCCAATGGTATATACTTCCAGGATGCCCAAATTATCTCAAGTCAATGAATCTGATGCAGATGATGAAGATAATTATGGAGCCAGACTGAAGCCTCGAAGGTACCACGGCCGCAGGGCCGAGGGAGGACCTGTGGGCACCCAGGCAGCTGCACCAGGCGCTGCTGACAACACACTGCCCATGAAGCTTGGGCAGCAAGCAGGGACTTTCAACTGGGACAACCTTTTGAACTGGGGCCCTGGCTTTGGCCATTATGTAGATGTTTTTAAAGATTTGGCATCTCTTCCAGAAAAAGCAGCAGCAAGTGAAGAAGGCAAAGCTGGGACAACTAAGCCAGGCCCCAAAGATGGGGAAGCAGAACAGTATGTGTGAAGTTCATGTACTGGCACTATAAAAATATAAAAACAAGAAGTGCTCAAACCATTTTAAGGTTGCCGACTAGGTTGGGTCACGTTTGAAAAACAGGCCAGTATGGACGAGTGGTAGAGGGGAAACTTTAAAAATAATAACCACAATGCTGCTGAAACAGACTCACAGCTACTGTTAATTTAAACATATGTGGTTGGATTTATTTCCCTGCATGCATTGTGTTTTGTAACTAGTTTTGTGGCATGCAGCATTTGGAGGATTTTTCTTATTTAGCAGTGTTTGATTTGTGATTTTTAAAAATTGATACCTTTACCATTGCAAAAAGAACTTGTGCTTTCCCAGTGGCGTATGTGTATTGTTTCCATTGTATTATTATAATTATATTTTGCATTGCAAGATCCTCGATGTTAAACCAATCCTTGTAAAGTGTAGAAAGGAACCCTCCTATTGTGGAATGAAGATTAGGTATATTAACACTTTTCAGAATGATGGTTTCCATATTTGAGGTTGCTCGGAAATGTCTGAGTATTTGAGTAAGTTGTACATGACAGTGGGTACTGAAATTATGTCATTTTGTTCAGCACTTTAATGCTTTCTTACAGAATTGTCTGAAAACTTCTGGATCCTTTAGCAAATGATTCTAGTCTCCTGACTTTCATCAGGCTTCCATTAGGAACAGAGTGATTGCATGTTGTCCCCAGAACACTGCCACCTTGCTATGCAGATGATGTTCTCAGCAGCACTTCTAAGAGACACTCTTAAAAGTTATTTATTGAAAATGTTTTCTATGCTTTTACTATTTTAAAGAATTGACCTAAGGAAAGCCTATGATTGGACTTATTTTCCAAACAGATAACATTTACTCTAAGTACCCAGTTTTTATAATTTATATGAAATCAGATTTCAACACTTACTTTCAGTCATTTTGTAGATCATTTTTTTTAATACTGTGTAAAAACCCTTTTTACACCTAAGCTGTGTTTTTGATACTGATATTTTCCTATGCTGAATAGTTTTCTTGCTTTCAGGGAAGGTAAGAAAATACTTTTTTTATATTTGTTACTTATGTAACATTCATATTTTTCACATTTTGATATTTGTAACATACTGTATGCTTTCTACTTGTAAATGTCAACAATAGAATTAAAATATTTATTTAAAATACTTTGTATTCTAGTGTAATATTGATTTTTATCTTTCTATGTTCTTTGTATGCCCGACTGAGAACAGTCTCTACTTGTCAATACAGTATGACTAATTGAACTGTATATAGGCAGCATCATTTTCTCTTTAAAAATGTGAATATGGATCCTTGCCATACTTGTCAATACAGTATGACTAATTGAACTGTATATAGGCAGCATCATTTTCTCTTTAAAAATGTGAATATGGATCCTTGCCATACTTGTCAATACAGTATGACTAATTGAACTGTATATAGGCAGCATCATTTTCTCTTTAAAAATGTGAATATGGATCCTTGCCATACTTGTCAATACAGTATGACTAATTGAACTGTATATAGGCAGCATCATTTTCTTTTTAAAAATGTGAATATGGATCCTTGCCAGAACAGGTATTTTAAAGTCACTTTAGTGCATTCCTAACCTGTCAGAGTTCTTGGGCTTCCCTAGAGTATAATGAGTCTAGACTAGGTTGATCTTAGGGGTCTAACTTTATTATGAAGCTTGTTTAAACATCCTAGGAATAAATGTTTGGAAATTCCCAGTGGAATACGTTCACTGAAGACCAGCTTTAGTTCAGTCTTATAGAAGCAGCAATGAATTAAAGCTAATTATGGAAAAATGTCTGGGTCTGATTTTCTCTAAGGACCCAGCCCAAAATTCTCTTACAATCGTGGGTAGAAAGAATGATAGCAAAAGCTCCACTCTACATATGTGTCTTGAATTTATTGATTACTCTGCTGCATAATTCTAAAGAAACTGTACATGCTGTCGTAGCCAAGACAAACCTCTGTTTTCAGGAGTCATAGTTATGTCTTAAATAACAGGACTTTAAAAAAATTCCTCACAATCTCAGAACATTTGTAATTTAATATCTGCTCCAAACCTAATATTCATTGAGAATACTCTTCTTTAATACCAACCATATCATATTGAATAGGAATTTTAACAATGTATAAATTAATACCCACCCACAGATTGAGGTATATACCAGAATTATTTTGTCATGTAATAATGTTGAGGTTATTATTTTTTGTTTCAGATTAGGAAGTATAATGTGGGTTTAATCTAAATCATTATATTCTTTTAGGTTTGTTACCTGTTATGAGCCAACATGTTTTAATATTTCTCTGTGAATTATAATAGTATGACTTTCTTCTCCAAATACAGAAACATGTTCATTGATTTGTGTAACTCAAAACAGAATACATTTTTTAAGAAACTGAAGCATCTCCATGTCCTCAAGAATATAAACTCTATAATTTAAAACAGATCTAAATGAGAGATGATCAACATGATTATAGCTAAGAATAAAGGAGAAGGAACTTGATGCCAGGATTTTGTATTCTTATTCTCTAAGAATTCTTTGTGAAATAGAGAATTACTATTCCCTTGACTAGTCAATCCCAGTTTAGGAAGTTGATAGGATTCTCATAGGACAATTTCTAGTCTTTGGTTCTTCTTGGAAATCTCTTCTACTGAAGCAAGGCCAATATTTATACCAAAATAAATCAGAAATCTGTGAAATGAAGGTCTCACATTAAAATGGAAATTAATATTTAATTTATTGAAGTATTAAAGTGACATGTGGTGTACTATGAGGAGGAGGGATTATAGGCAAATTAACAGATTAAAAATCCCCACAAATGAATGGTTAGTGGTGATTTGCACATTCATACATAAAATTACGACCTCAGAATTTTAATCCATCCCCTGTCAAGTTTTATTAGATTTCCTGGAATACAGTTACTCTACTCTGTAGAGGCGAGAGCAACTCCATCTTGGATGCTCATCTTCCATGTTGACTTCTGATTAACCCCAGTTCTGGGAATGCCTCTAATATTTCCAGTTTATATATGGTTCCTTGTGTAAGACCTGGTACTAACTGCAACTCCAGACCTTAGGCAGATTCACATAGCATTTTGCACCTCCCTGAGGAGTCAACTTCAATTATC